CTCTGCTAAGTGGAAAGAGCAGCTTACAAAGTAGTAGTACAGCACCAGCGCAATTTTACGAAGAGGGGAAAAATGTCCGAAAGGGCAAATGCACACTGTGTCCACGTACTTACTTCTCAGTAATTATAGTAGCATAATCTGAGAAATAAAAACGTTTTTATTTTTTAAAATGTTTCTCTGCATTTTCTAACTTTCAACAATGAATAGGTAGAGTTGAGAAATACAGTGTTTAAGAAGAATCCAAAGTTAATCAGTTCTAATCAGCCGCGTGCAGGTTACTGGTCTTACCAACCGCTCTCAGGCCAAGGTTCCCCCGTCCCGGCTGGGGGTCAGGTCATGAGCAGCTGGGTGGACCCTGGAGGCCCGGGGCGGAGCACAGGCTAGGCTGGGACGTTCCCTGGGACGCGCCTGAGCTTCTCTTCTCCCCTTCTAAAGCTGCTCCTAGGCTGTGGGGTAACTATCTTCTGACCTCTTCAGGATGGGGAGGGCACCTTCTCCTAAGCTGACAGCCTATGGTGACACTGCCAGCAGCAAAGAACCGCCCCCAGTTCCCACCCGTGGTCTCCGCACTCGCTCAGGCCCGTTTGTAAGGCGGGTAGCTATATTCACAGCCATATAGGTACAGAGAGAGATGCATGGAGAGAGAGAGGAAAAGGCACCAGAAAATATTTGAAGGCAGGGTGGAGCCAGCTTAATCTCTCCACTAAGTGTGAAGGCTGTAGCTTCTTTTTAAGCAGTAAGTGGCCTTGTCCTACGTATCTTCCAGGTGTGTGACCTTGGAGGCAGCCTGTGCAGGAAAAGGGAAGGAGAACCGCAAGCTCCTTCTCTTCCGTCTGCAGGTGACATCAACCACCTGCCCATGCACTGGCCAAGGGCCGCTGTCAGCCCAGCAGAGGCCCTGACTCAGCTTAGGGAAGAATTTGTACTCATCACGTGGTTCTGACCCACAGAGCAAGCTCCTGGAACTCTGCAAACAGTGATCGCTTTTCTTTCGCTTGAAATCCATGTAATTTCAAATGTCATCAGCTCTGAATTCATGTGCAAATAGTATGCAGCGTTTCAAGCAGAATGTTCCACCTGCTTTAGAGAATAAGCTCTTTATTTAAACCTGCTCTGGTGCTCCTTTACATGCACCCTAGGTAATAAGAAGTAGCTACTGTCTTTACTACTCATGTTTATTCGTGGTTAACAAGGCCCTTCCCTTAAGGCCTCTCTTTGGCTATGATCTGTTTCCCTGCTGGTGATTATCCCATGCCCTTTAAACGAATAGTATTTACCTCCTTTTACTTATGAAAAATACATAGACACAGAGCAAACACGTACCTAGTCTTTACTATGTACCGGGCCCTGCTGAAGCATCTCCCACACACTAGCTCATTTAACCCTCAGGACAATTCTGGGATAAGGAAGTATTACTATCACCATTTCACACATGGAGAAAGTGAGGCCCATGGAGGTTAAACAACTCACCAGGATCACAGAGCTGGTAAGGTGCAGTGCCAAGGTTAAAGCCGGGCTGTCTGGTTCCTGTGTCCATGCTTTCACTATGATAAACCTCTATTCCGTATGTCACAGTGACAAAAATCATTCTCACATGAGTGTCCACATGTAAACGTGAGCTCCACCTTCGAAGTTGCTCCCTGCTGCTGGCAGGGCTAGAAGCTCCTTCCCAAACTAACCAGAGTGATTCGATCCGTTCTCATGCTCATGGTTGTCCCAGAGGCGATCACACAGCCTCGGCTGGCCCCGCTGGACTAAAGCTCCAGGCTTCTGTTTGAAGATTGAATCTAAATGAGAAGCATGAGTTGCCATTAGCCCTTGGGGAAATGAGAGAATCCTGCCAAGGATGAAATTGCCCTGAGGGAGCAGAGCTGCAAAGCCGAGAGAGTGAAGGGGGACCCTTACCAGGTCATCTGAGCTGCGAGAACAAGCCGTACCTGAAGCTGCCTTTCTCTTTGAACTTTCTAGTAACATATGCAGTGGAATCCTTTTATTGCTTAAGTCACCGCTTACGCTGGTTTTCTTGTACTTGCATCTAGTAACGAATTTGGTCCAGGAGTGGGATGTTTATTACGCACAGTCTTTTGAAGATGGACTTGGCTGAGTTGAAGACAGGGCAGTGATGGGCCATCCGTGACATTTTAAAGGCAAACGTATGTCTAAGTTCCTCCAGGTGTGTGTTGACACTTGAACAATGTCTGGCTGCAGTGTAACAGGAAAGGGCCAATTCTGACTCCAGGTTGGATCTGTTTCTTTGACTTTAGCCTTTGCTTTTCCTTGCTTTTTTTTTTATTACAATCATACATAATGGCCTGCCTCAGGGAACCCTACCCACTTGTGAATGGCTGGAAGAAGGAAGAAATTAACACATCCCCTCCCGGAGGCTGGCCATTCCAGGAGATGTTTCGCAAGACTGGTGGCCCTTTTACTTTACTTCCTCCCGGTCTCTCCCTCTCTATTCTCTTTTTACTGTACTTCCCTCTCTGATTCTATAAAAGAAACCGGCACCCAGACCCCCATAAGATGGTTTTTCAGAGACACTAGTCTGCCATCTTCTCGGTCCGCCTCAACAAAGTCGTATTCCTGACCTCAACACCTCGTCTCCGAGTCATTGGCCTGTCGTGCGGCGAGCAGAGTGGAACTTGGACTCTGTAACAGTTATGCAAACCTGCTCACATATTGTACCACCGAGAGATAAAAATCACTGATAATACCATATAATCCATGCTCATTTACATTTATTTTAACAGCCTGGCTGCGGGTACTTCTGCAAACACACAAGCAAATTCTATTTCCCTAACCAAACGAAACTCTGAAGTTGTAGCTTCTGGTTGCCATGAGAACAGTTATATTTAAATGTTCAGTCCCAGAAGCAGTAACACAGATACGCAGATTCTCTGAACCAGCCTGTCCTCTTCCACTTTCACCAATTCGCATCAAGTACTTTAAGAGGTGGCAGAGTTGAAAGCCAGAAAGAGCCCTCATTCAGTAAAAACTCCTGGGTTCCACTTACCTTGCAGGACTTGGCCGAAAGTTTCAAATACAAAATCCTTTTCCCATAACTGGTGGTGGTGAACGATTTATAAAACATACTTGGAAGTGGCGGTGTTCCCTGAAGGCGGACGGGATTTGTAAAATGTCACGTAACCCTTAGTCCCACGTCACTTGGTCTGTAAGGAGTGAGGTCACAGGAACCCTGGACACTGGGTCCAGGGAGAGACATACACGTGCGGCCAAGGAGGGAGAAACAGGAGGGTTTCGGGCCCTAGTTTTTTCATCAATGCTTTACCTGCCGGGACCACAGAGCTGTCAGAGGCGGATGGCCGGGAGCTGATGAGCTTCAAGGTCAAGGTCCCTCCCACACTGGGACCTCACTGTGCGTTCATAGTCCTGGGTTCTGTTTCTTAAAAAGGGCTCCCAAATTTTATAGGCTTTGCGCCCCAGCAAACTTGGAGGCACCCTTGTGCCCACAAGCAAAAAAGAAGGTTACAGGGCGGATTTTAATTTCAGACACTTACTATCTTTTTTTTATTTTTATTTTTTAATTTTTTTTATTTTTGGCTGCATTGGGTCTTCATTGCTGCACGCGGGCTTTTCTCTACTTGCGGCGAGTGGGGGCTACTCTTCTTTGTGGTGGGCAGGCTTATTGCTGTGGCTTCTCCTGTTGCACAGCACGGGCTCTAGGTGCACGGGCTTCAGCAGCTGTGGCACACGGGCTCAGTAGTTGTGGCTCGCAGACTCTAGAGCGCAGGCTCAGTAGTTGTGGCCCATGGGTCTAGATGCTCCGCGGCATGTGGGACCTTCCCGGACCAGGGCCCGAACCCGTGTCCCCCGCACTGGCAGGTGGACTCCCAACCACTGCGCCACCAGGGAAGCCCGACACTTACTATCTTTAAGAAGCACTTTTGAATGTGAACACAAGGAACAGCAGATCCTTCTGTCTGGAAGATTCCGACCAGCGTTCAAACATGCTGTCCTTTCTCTCATACTAAAATAGAACCCTCTCTTTCCTCCCTTTACAAAAACTCCCTGGGGCAGGGGATGCCACCCCTGCAGTCAGGATGTCCCCCCCACCCCAGTCTGGGGAAGATACAGCGACCTCCATGCACAAAAGCCCGTCACCTCGTCAGCCCCCGGCCATCTCTCCTCCAGAGGCGCCTTCCGCACGCCCTTCTCGCCCCCCCCCCACCCCGGTCCCCCATCTGCCTGGTCTTCAGTGTTGGGATGAGCTGTCGGATGCTCTGTTCTCCAGCTGATTCACTCCCCAAGTGACCTCAGCCGGTCTCCAGACTAACGAGGTGCCTACATAAGAGACAACTCCCCCAAACTGTAGCTCCCATCAGGACCTCTGAATCAAACACACACCCCATCTCCCTTGGACTCCTAAGAGGCACGAGCAAAAGAGAGCTCCTGACCCCTTCGTTGGTGGCAACATCATCCTGCAGCTGCTCAGACCAAGCCCGGGCCATTCTAACCCTCCTCCCTGGCCCTCACCCTGCCTGTAATCTGTCAGCCCACCCTGGCTCTTACCTGGACGAACACCCAGCACCTGCTCCACCTCCACCCGGGACCACTGCAGCAGGTTCTAACTGACTTCCTGCTTCTGCTTTTCCCTGCTCCAGTCTATCCCCAAACTTCAGCCCCCTCCAAGCAAGACCCAGAGCAGCTGCAGTGGACGGCAAGGCCCTCTGTGTGACCCCTGCCCCGAATATCCGACCTGCCTCTTAACATGCTCCCTCCAGCATGGTGGCTCCCACGGTTCTCTGAATACACAGGCATCCCTGCCACCACAGGGCCTTTGCACCTGCCACCCTAGGGTGTCTGCACCTGCCACCCCAGGGCGTCTGCACCTGCCACCCCAGGGCCTTTGCGCTTACCACTGACGTGCCCCAGAATGCACTCCCCCACCCCCACACCCCGAGATGTGCTCCCTCACTCCCTTCCGTTTGGATTGAAAGAATCCGCCCCCCCCATCCAGCACTTCCTATCCCGGTCCCCTGCGTCCCCCAGCCCCTGTGGCCCCCTTATTGGCACTTGCCCGCTCACACTGGCTGTTTGTTACTAACTGACACAGAGGCAGGCCCTCCCTCCTGTGGTCTTTCTGTTGGGTGTGCCCCACCCCCCCCAGCACACACAGCAGTGGGGCAATCACGGGGACATCGGGACCCCAAGGAGACGTGTCCCAGCCCACGGGGGGCCTGGCACTGCAGAGGGGGCTTCACAGAGTGCCCACGGCCAGCCGCTGGGAGACGGAGGGCTGTGAGCCTGGCTGGGAATGTGTGTAAGGTGACACCCCGCGTGCCTGGGAGCGAGAGAACTTGGGTGTGTTATCTGAGCTGCCAGGACCCCGGCATCCAGCCTGCCCTTCAAGAACCACCCTCCCCCGTGTCTCCATCAGACCTGCTCTTCCTCCGATATTCCCCATCTCGGCCATCCTGCCAGGGGTCTGAGTGTCACCGGGACCTTGCCCTCTTCCTCAGCCCCCCTCCCCCTCCCCGTCCAGCGGGGACTGCCTGCTCTCTGCCTTTAGCAAAGAAGGAAGCACGTAGGCTCTGCAGCCGGCCCGCCAGCCTCTGAAGTCTGACCCCAGTCCTTCCGACGACGGCAGCAGGTATGGACCACGGGTCCACCAGCCAGGCCCCTTCCCAGGGCTTGACGGGCAGGTGGTCCTGACAGCAGAGACGCAGGCCCCCGAGCAGTGTCCCCTTCAGTGGGTGCCGCGGGCAGCCCCGGACGCTGGGAACCATGGGAATAGGGGATCTCATCCCAGAGGTGCCCTGAGGACCCAGGGCTGATGCAGGGAGTTGCCTCAGTGTTGCTGGAAGCAGGTGACGCCTCCAGCAGAGTCAGCTCATTTTAGGGTCACTATTCTTCTCCTGAGGGTTCTCTCCACCCTAATCTCTCCTGTGAATGCACTCCCCAGAGCTGTGGAATGACCGTCCTGAAGCTTCCTCGGCCTCAACCCTTTGCTCCAGGGCAGCCTGGCCTCACAGCGCCTCCACAAGGTCACACCCCTGAAACCCACAGTTCCTCAGCATCTCGCACCTCCGTGCTTGCCCGGGCTGGTGCCCCTGCCCTCCCCCTTCCCCCGTGGCCCTGCACCCCAAGAAGCACAGCAGGGAGACCCTCGGGTCCTCTCGGACCTCAGGCTGGCTCCCTGCCCACCCGCCTGCTGGGCCTTCCAGGTGCCCAGGTAGATGCCCCGGTGCTGGCCCAGCCTTGGGGGCCTGAGGTTGCAGCCCACCTGCCTGAACCAGGAGGACGGCAGGTGGGGAAGGCAGTCGGGGCCTGGGGCGGGGCTCTCGGGGCCCAGGTGGCTGGGGTCCTAGATCGAAGCGGGTCTGAGACCCTGGATGCCCCTCCATCAGGCCCCAGGGTGCCTCCCTCTGGCCTCCCCTTCCCTCCTTCATCCCACGCCCCACCGTTTCTATCATCAAATTGTCCTGTCCCCGTTCACGTGAGGTTTCTTTACGCGAACGGCTGGTCCTCTATTTTTCCTTCTGTGACTCCATGAGTTTGCTTCCAGGGGCAGCCGTATCAAAGTGCCACAAACCGGGTGGCTCAAAACAATGGAAAGAGCCTCTGTCGCTGTCCTGGAGCTGAAGTCCGGAATGAAGGGGTGGGCGCGCTCCCTCTCGAGTCTCCAGGGCCGGGTCCTCCCCATCTCTTCCGGTCCCCGGGGGCCCAGGCTCCTTGGCCTGTGTCACCGTGCAACCGTGTCACCGTGCTCGCAGATTCGGGGGGTCAGGGGTGCGGGGAGCACACAGGAAGGACAGACAATTCCTGCTCTGTGAGGCCTGGGACCTCAGCTGGGGGGGACCCAGAGGCCACAGCTACTCAGGCGGGGTCCCTTCTGAAAGCCGCTGGTGTCTCCTGGGCTGGCACAGGCTGTCCTCAGAGGATGGTGGCTGGGTTCCGAGGGCGCTGGCCCTGAAGAGGAAAGCAGATGTGCTCGGCATTGCTGTGACCTCGCCCCAGAAATCCAGGCCCTGACTCCACGGCTGGGGCCGTCACAGGGATGTGCCCAGGTTCAAGGGCAGAGACTCACCTCCTCCTTTTCCATGGCACCGGCCTCGAAGGCACAGAGGAAGGAGAACGAGGGATTTGTGGGATTGGGATGGCGTTGGGGCCACGTGTGGAAGCTACGCCTGCCACACGACACCCAGGATCCTAAAGCCTCTGCTTGTCAGCGCAGATGAGCCCCAGAGCTCACCAGGCGGGTTGACAACAAGCCATTCAGGGTTGAGAGCTCCCTGGAAGAAGAAATTCTAGAAGCAATTAGAGTGGGAGGATGATATCTATTGAATGTGTACAGAGCTCCTTCAAAAATACACTGAATCCAGAATCTACTTCTGTAGTTGAAGGGTGACTTGGATCTTACGGAAAGCTGTTTGCTTTTATTTTTATTAATAAAATTAGGGAGCTATAAAGAAAAATACTATATGTGTGTGTGTGTACCCTTTGTAAAACAGTTTGTATAACAGCAATGTCAAAAAATTGATGGCAGAAAATGTGTGAAAGTTTTTTTGTTTTTTCTCACACAATCAAACGTGTACAAATCTCCTTCCCTTTCTTTTTTTTTTTCCTGGAAAAAAAGAAGTGAAGTGAGAAGTGGCTTGTGTGTGTGTATGTGGTTGTGTGTGTGTGGTTGTGTGTGTGAACGTGTGTGTCTGGTTGTAGTCTAGAAGCCTCCCTCAAACGGTTTCCTTGTTTACATAATTTTTTATGTTGCACTTTGTGGAGTTCATGCACCTAATTTTCTTGCAATCATGACCACAGCAGAACCTGTCCAGTTATTAACTGGAATTTAAGTGGATTAACTGGAAATTAAGTGGATTAACAGTTTGTGGATATCACCAGCAAACTGTTAATTACAAACCAGAGATGAAAGTGATTTCAGGGCTTTTGTAAGCAAAAATATGGGGCCCTTCTGGCCGGCCCGGGGGGCCCAGGGCTGAGTCTCACCAAGCACCAGACTTCCCCTCCCCCTAATAACCAGGCTGGGTCCCTGCGGGCTCCGGGAAAGCGTCAGATTCAATTCCCTGACCTGGAATCTAAGCCATGGGGGACGCCAGGATCTCGGTCTGGTCTGTGTCTCCCCTCAACATCCTACTTTTCCACCATCAGGAGGAGGGTGAGAATGCAGGGGAAAGGACCACCGGACTGTGTGCAGGTGACTAAGGTCCAAACAAGAGGCTTCCTCTGGACCAAGAGGATGACACTGACCACAAGCCAGTAGATGCTTCAGGCCGCAGGCCCCAGGGCCGCCCTTCCAAATGCGTGTCTTCTGGTCTGCTTTGCGAGCGCTCTTCGCTGGCCTCCTTTGGGAAGACTGTGTTCTCCAGCGGAGCACCTGTCCGGGTGCTGGGATGCAGGAGAGCTCCCCGGGTGCTCTCCAGGGGCCCGGCGTTGCTGGGGCCCCTGGAGCCGGCGCTGGCGGCCGTGGAGCGGGCTGTGGAGCAGCTGCTCCCAGGGCTTCCTCCCTGCGCGCTCGGGCGGGGTGACTCGGAGGCTCAGCCGCGAGCAGAGGCTCAAAGAGCCACAATTCAGCCCCGGCCGGAGTCCGCGCCCGCCTCCAGGGGCTGCCCCCGCGCGGGGCCCGTGAGTGCAGCGAGCCCGCGTGGCAGAGCCGCCCGGAGGTGGTCCCGGCCGGCGGGCAACAGGTGGGGCGGCTCGGCTCGGCCGTGTTTACCTGGCTCGCAGGAAGCCCGGGGGGCGGGGGAGGGGCGGGGGAGGGGCGGCGGGCGCGCCCGGCGCTCGGGGCCGCCGCCGTCAGTCGCCGCCGCGCGCCAGCGAGGACGAGCCTGCGGCCCCGGCGGCCCGCGTGCCCGACCCGGAAGGCGGCGCCGGCGCCCCGGGACCCCGCGCGCTTGGGGCCCGCGCGGCGAGGAGGCGGCCTGGACCCCGCGGCGCCCTCGTCCTGGGAGCGGCGAGCGCAGCACGGTGGGTGACCCTCGCCGGGGGCGGGAGGGCCCCTTTGCGCCCTCGGAGCGGGGACCCGGCCGCGGGGCTCCCCCGGGGCGGCGGCGCAGGTGGCGGCAGGTGGCAGCCGGGCGGCCGCCCTGCGAGAGGTGGGCGCGGGTGTAGACGCCGAGCCAGAGCGGCGGGGCTGTCCCCAACGGGTGTCCAGGTGTGGGCTCGGCCGGGCCCAGCGGCCGGGGTCGCGGGCAGAGCGTGGGAGGGGGTGAGGGTAGAGTTTCGGGTGAGAGGTGACAGAGGTCAAGGAGGCCGCCCCGGGCGGGCTGGGAACGCGCGCTGTTGGCGAGCTTTCGGGCAGGCAGGGGTCCCCACCAGCCTAAAGTGCTTCTTAATGACACACCTGGAGCCGAGCGGACGACTCCTGCCGTCCCCCCCTCTCCCCTCCCGCCCCACGAGCCGAAAACCAGTTTCCTTTTGAGCGCCGAGGGCGGCGACAGGCGACTCTCCGGGCTTCCGCCTTCCGGGGGCCCGTCCCGGCTCGGGCCGCGCCGCCTGCGCCCACCTGCGCCCACCTGTGCGCCTGGCGCCCCCGGGCGCGAAGCCCCCTGGGCCCGGCGCCGGGTTGGGTGGCCCTTAGGGTGCCCTGTGATCTGCACGATTCCTTGACATTCAGTGGCTCTGGGTCCTTTGGGCTGCTGGTGGCACCGACTCGTTTGTTTTAGCGTCTCCTTTCACCTCCTTTCAGAAGGCAGAGTGGGGCTGGGAACCACGTTTGCGTTTCTTTGGTGATCTCAGTAGGAGCCTGGCAGGAAATAAGCGCTTTCTGGTTCCTGGTTCTCTGTTTTCCAAATGCTACAACGTGAGAATCGACAACGCCTGTTCAGTTTGCCTCTGCAGCTGTGGAAGGCACGGGCCACAGCCGGGATGTGCTGGGAGAGGTGTAAACACGGTGCAGGGGGGCCCCTGGCTGTTCTGGCCAGGGATACCCACACCTGGCCTAGAAAGAGAGATTTTCAGACGGAGGGAACTTTAGGGGTGCGTCCTATTTAAGACCTGTGGGTTTTGGAGAAGACTTTAGCCCCCCAGCTCAGGGAGATAGTTTACAGAGTGACCCACAAGTCTGGGACCCCCCTGAATCGGGCTCAGTCCTGACCCCCCTTCTCCCTGGCAGAACCACCTCTGAGTGCTGGGGGCCTCCTCGGACGTGGTGACCCAGGTGCAGAGCCAGCGGGAGCCTGGGACAGAGCAGCTCTTCAGGGAGGGATGGGCCCAAAGAACCAGCAGGTGGGCCGCAGCCTCACAGCCGTGTTTCTCCCAACCCAGGAGAAGTGCCCGTCAGTCGTCGTATTTTTTTTTAAGTGGGATAAACCAAAACCTGAAGGGAGGGAATCCAGTTCAAAATTATTGTAAAGTGTTGGCTAACAGTCACTCCCAACGGTTTACCTGTTCTGAAATAACTCCCTTTATTAACTCAGGGTTAAACAAAAGCTGTTTGGTTCAAATCCACTTTAGAAACCTTTTGTTGTTTGACTTTTAGTTTCTCTTTAGATTCTTTAAAAATTTGACACAGTATCAGCCACCGTCTCTGTGCCTTTTCCACGCAGGTGTCCAGGTAGCATTTTTGACCACTTACGAGTTGCCAGGCTGTCTTCTTAGAGCAATGCATCACCTCACTGATAGGTGGGGTGCCCTGGGATCCCCTCATTTGATATAACCACCCTATCAGTACCCTCATTTTTACTGACTAGGAAACCAAGGCATGGAGACACCCAGGGTGCCCAGGACTCAGTTCTGGGAACCTGCCACCAGCCCTTTGTTGCTGCCCTGCAGGGCAAGTAGGACGCCTTAAAAAACCCACAGGGCTACCTTCCACTTCTCTGTCTGTTAAAATTCCACCGCTAATGAGCGGCCACGCCCAACAAAGTATGCTTCCTTTTCAGGTTGATTAGCCTCGCAGGCTGCTGTCAGGTCTCTGTTAGTCATCTTTTCCTTAACTTCCTCAGTAAAGTTGACAGTAAAGGAGGAAAGACGGTTCTCTAATTCCTCAGTACGCTTTTTAGTAAGTAGTCATTAAGCGGGAAGACACTTCTACTGGTCAGTGAGAGCCACTGAAGGAAGCTTAAATCAGCCTGAGTTTGGGGCCCCAGGAGGTGAGGTTAAAGCAACAGTAATTATACACAGGGAGACCCTGGTGGTCCCATTCAGCAGAGATGAGCGGAATTCAAACTCCACCTAAACATGTAGCTGTCAGGCTTTAGCCAGAGAAACGGAATCAATGGGAGATGCACAAGAGTGACTTATCGCAAGGAATTGGGGCTGCAGAGGCCGACCAGACAGGAGGCTGCAGCTCTCAGGCGTGATCTGAGGCCACATCCAGAGCTCACGCTGCAACCAGGAATAGGGAACAGTGCATATTCTGAAGCTTTAAGCAAAGTCTCAGAGTCAGTAATTGCTAACAATTCATAAATATGGATCTGGACTCTGTGAACACCTCTGAGTAAGTGTGAGGCTCTATTATTAAAAAAAAAAAAAAAGATGGATGCCTAGAGAATGAGGATAAACAGACTTAGGCGAGGTATCTGGGATGTATCAAACATTCTAAAATTCAGCAATATAAAACAAACTGCCCAATAGAAAAAGATGTGGCTGAGCAGCCTGGCCTAGAAGAGAAAACCCAGATGGGCTAGTAAAATATGAAAAGGTGTTTAACCCACTAGTTCCCAGGGAGTCAAAAATCACGTCAAATGGGATAATTTTTCGTATCCATCATACTGGTAAAAATTTTAAATTCTGACTGTACCAAGTACCGAGGAAGATGTAGAGAAGTGAGAACTCACATTATTGTGAGTAGGAGTGTAAATAAAAACAGACACTTCAGAGAAGAATCCAGGAAAGCTGATGACGGACATTCCCTATGACCTCGTGATTTCACTCCAAAGTTCACCCTCTAGGGAGAACCTGGTCTGAGTGCATAGGGCACATACAAAGGTTGCTCATGGAAGCAATTTTTTAAAACTTTTTATTTTGAGATAATTGTACATTCACATGCAATTATGAGAAATAATAGAGAGAGATCCATATATGCTTCATAACATCTTGCAAAACTATAGACAATAGCACATCCAGGAGATTAACATTGGTACAATCCATCAGCTGTGTTGAGATGTCAGATTTCGCTAGTTTACGTGTGTGTGTCTGTGTGTAGTTCTATGTAATTTTATCACACATGTACAATCGTGTGACCGCTCACCTCAGGTAGGGACAGCTCCATCACAAATTCCCGAGGGCTGCCCTTTATGGCCACAACCAACTTCCCCCTGCTCCCTCCCTACGCCCTTGGCAACCACTAATCCGTTCCCCATTTTCTATAATTTCATCATTTCAAGAATGCTATTTAAGTAGAGTCATGCAACCTTCTGTGACTGGCTTTTTTCGCGGACTGCAGTTCTCTTGAGATCTCTCCAAGTCGTTGCGTGTACTGATAGCTTGCTCTTTTTTTGTTGATGAGTGGTACTCGGGGGAATGGATGCCCACCCGCTCCCATAGTGTTTCGGTTTTACGCATTTGCCCTTTGAGGGTTTCCAGTTTGGGGCTATTTGAGTAAAGCCGCTGTGACCGTCCACGTACAGGTTTTTGTGTGAACACAGTTTTCGTTTCTCTGGGATAAATGCCCAAGCAAGAGCGCCATTGCTGAGTCAAATAGCAAACACGTATTCCATTTCATGAGAAACTGCCCTCCTCTCTTCCAGAACGGCTGCACCGTTTTACATCCCACCAGCCAGGTGTGAGTGATACAGGACCTCCACGACGGCCTTTGGCACCGTCACTGTTTTTTATTTGAGCCTGTAACAGGTGTGCGGCGATAACTTCACCGTGATTTTAGTCTGTGTTTCTCTCACGGATAATGATGCCCATCTTTCCGTGTGTGCCTCTGCCCTCTGCACATCCTCTCAACGAGCAGCCTGTTCTCATCTTTGCCCTTTTTCTGATTGGGTTGTTCGGTCTCGTTAGTTCCTTGTATGTTCTGAATACGGCTCCTGGTTGTGGTTTGCAGTTACTCTGTCAGTTTAGCTTGACTTCTACCTCTCCACAGAGTCTTCTGCAGGAAAAAAGTTTTTCATTTCGATGAGATCCAGTTTATTAATGTTTTCCTTTTATGGATTGTGATTTGGGTGTGAAATGCAAGAACCCGTCACCTAGCCTGAGTCTGGAAGATTTTCTCCTTTTTTTTTCCCCCTACATGTTTTATGGTTCTACCTTTCACACTGAAATCTGTTGTCCATTTCCAGTTAATTTTGTATAAGGAGTGAGGTCTAGGTGGAGGGTTTTGGTTTGGTTTGGTTTTTGTGCCTATCTAGGAATGTCGAATTGCTCCAGGACTGTTTGTTGAAAAGATGATCCTTCGCCCATAGAATTGCTTTTGCATCTTTGTCAAAAATCGTGTCCCCATATTTGTGTGGGTCTATTTCTGGTTTCCCTGATCTGTTCCCTTGATCAAGGTGTCTGTTGCTGCACCAGGACCACACTGTGCTGATTTCTGTGGCTGGAGGGTGAACCTTACCATCAGGTAGCGTGAGTCCTTCCCCTTCTTTCTTTATCAAAATCCTGTTAGCTGTGCTGGCTCCTGCACCGTTCCATATGTTTTAGAATAAGCTTGTTTGTGTCTACAAAACCGTTGGTGGATTTTTTATAGGAATTTCATATTCCAAATCTATAGATGGACTTGGGGAGAATTAACGGTTTTACCGTGTGGAGTCTTCCACGCTGTGATCACAGGTTGTCTCTGTTTATTTAGATGTGCTTTTGTCTCTTTCATCGGTATTTTGTAATTTTCAGCGTATAGATTCTGAATCTGTGGGGTTTTTTTAAGAGTATACCTAAATATTTCTCTTTTTTTGAGTTATTTTTAAATACTGTCATGTTTTTAACTTCAGTTTCTACATGTGTGTTGTTAGTTTACACAAATGTGGATGATTCTTGTGTGCTGACCTTGTGTCCTGCGACCTTGCCCAACTGCCTCACTA